ACCCATGTAAAAATGGAGCAACTGTCCTGGGCTCTAAGACTGTGTTTGCTTCTCCGTGGATTAACTTGACGTGGGAATGAAAAGTGGTCATGTGTGGTTGAATGATTGGGTTTTGTGAGATGGTTCACACATTCTATTGGGAACTCAAGATTCCAGTTCCCCTTTCTCTTAGACTTGCAGTGTGACTGGGATAAGGTACCCACGTGTCACTTTCTCATTAATACCCTGGCTTGGTCTGTCCTAGGACAGCTGTGTGGATCGAATGCAGTTGTGAAACTGGAAGAGTTTTGAGACCACGAAGAGCTCTGTTGCCAGCTGGGGGTGTAGCTCAGTGGTAGAGCACTTGCTTAGCATGCTCAGGGTCCTGGGTTCCATCCCCAGAACTGGGGAAAAAAAAACATCTCTGTTGCCCTCAGTACCAATCCTTCTGTGGGGTTCCCAGCCTGAGTCTAGGCCTGGGCATGAACAAGTAGGTCATTTAAATTATACTTTACTTTTGCTTGAGTTATCCAGACCCTCTTCATTTCTCCAGATTGTCTGAATTTCTGTCTCATTCCAAGGAAAGGGACAGGAGTGAGAGCAGAAAAGAGATTTGGGAGCATGGGCAGACTATGTAAAAATCTGACGGGGCTGCCCAAAGAGGCCTGGACAGGGGAGAGCATGGCTTTAGGTCTTTGTAAGAACTAAAGAAGACCTATGTTTTCTATTTCCATCTTCTGTTCTCCAGGCCCTTCTTTTTCTTTGCCTCCTTCTTGCCCATGAAGAAATAGCACACTCCAAGAATAATATCTGTATGAAAAGGAAAAAAATGTAAAGGTCAACATTTTGAGAACAAAGATGAATGTAACTAGAGGGAATCCCATCTGTTAAGAACTCATACTGTTTTATTTGTAGTGGCAAATGACAAGATGGTACAACCTTTATCCTTTTCTAAAAATAAAGCGAAGGGCACAACATCTGTAGTCAGCCCACAGCTGTATTGGCTGTTTGGGTGGGTCTCTCCGTACTTGTGATTTCAGTGGTACGTGACCCTCTGCCGCGGCTTGCCCCTGCCCGTGTACATAGCGCAGTGTTTCTGTGGGCGGGCCCAGCACTTTTGGTCAATGTTGTACTGTATGTGATGAATTTCGTTGGTCTCTGCATTTTTCTGCAGAAGAGGAGTAACCACTCCGGGTACCTTGACCTTTTTGTACAGCCCAGAGGCCAACACTGTGGGTGTGTGAGTAGCAAAAAAAAAAAAAAAAAAAAAACCCATGTGGTGATGATGACGTGTGTACATATATAAGGTTATATGGGGAAGATTTCTAAATAAAAGTTTTACAAAGGGGCTGGACTTTTTGCTTGCACTTTGCACCTCTAGGCCTGAGAATGGGGATATTAAGTGGAAAGGCATGGCAAGAAAGTGCTTCTTCTGAAATGGGGGAGCTTTCAGGACTCAGCTGTCCTCTTAGGAAGTGGGAGGCAGGGGCAGGACTAGTGGGGAGGAGGGAGGCTCCCCACTGAGTATTTCCATTCTTCTCCTCCTGCCTAGGTTTAGCAGAGGAGCATCTTACACCTATGTTGGAAGTACTGGGCAGCTCTGAAGATAGCCCCTCTGTTGACTCAGCTTCCATAGCTGGGGCAGTAGCTTCCAGCATAGGTTCAGGACAAATTAAGGTGTTGCCATGGGAGGGCCCCAGTTTCCTGGTGACTGATAGGAAACTGCAGCTCTTACTCTTGGCTCTTGAGGACTGGGGTCTCAGGCATAGAGGCCAAAGACTTTGGAAGCCTCAAGTGAAGGCCCTGTGGTGGCATTCATATCACCTGGGAGGGCTGTCCTGGAGGCTTAGGAATGGGAATGTGGTTGGAGGCAGGGATTCTGAGTCTGGAGGAGATCACTGCATGTGGACTGTTCCATCCTTGAAGACTTCAGTAGGTGGGCTCATTCAACTAAATGTTCATTCTTCCTTCTCTCATTTGCTTTTTTTTTTAAAGTTATAGATGGACACAATGCTTTTATTTAATTTATTTATTTTCATGTGGTGCTGAGGATTGAACTCAGTGCCTCACCCATGCTAGGCAAGTGCTCTACCACTGAGCTACAACAATAGCCCCTCTCATTTGATTTTGAAAAAGCATGTATTTATTTATTTACATTGGTTAGTGAACTCAGGGATATTCGTTATATCTCTGAGTTATATCCCCACCTCTTTTTATTTTTAATTAAATATTTATTCTTTTTGTACTGGGGATTGAACCAAATCGGTGGCACTTTACCACCGATTTACATCCTCAGCTCTTTTTTAAGTTTTTATTTTGAGACAGGATCTCACTAAGTTGCTTAGGGTCTCACTAAGTTGCTGAGGCTGACTTTGAACTTGCAATCTTCCTGCCTTAGCCTCCGGAGCCACTGGGATTACAGGCATGTGCCATTGTGCCCAACTATTTTTTATTTTGAGACAAGGTCTTGCTAAGTTATCCAGGTTGGATTGAAGCTTGCCACAGCCTTTTAAGTAGCTGGGATTATAGATGTGTTCCACTGTGCCTGACCAGAAAGCATTTATTGATCACTTGCCATATTCCAGGGGTTAGGAACCCAACACTGAGCAAAACAAAGATTCCTATTTTGTGGAGCTTAAATTCTAGAAGAAGAGACAGTGAACACAGACATACACACAACTATAATGATAGGTTGGTTATATAATAAGTGAGAACAAGTAATCAGTACAAATGCAAAAGGCTGTGCTAACAAGGGAATTGAGGCCTTCACAGGTAACTCTGGTTCCTTTGCAGTGAGCCTCATTTATCTTGCTAGACTTTGGTCTTAGCTGCCCCTGCCCTCAGGGAGCTTCTAATCATTGCTAGGAAAGCAAAGACAGGATTGGACTTGGGATCTGGCCTGTAGGGAAGCGCCTCAGTTTTTGAAAGTCTCTCTGTGCTTCTCCCTGACTCAGGTGTGGAGGTTCCTGGGTAGATGAGATGGTGAGATTTGGCCCTTGGGTGGTAACTGGCTATGGATTTTGGGTTTATAGGCTTGAGAAGCAGCAGGATGGAGGGACCTTCCATGATGGGAGGGAGAAAGTAGTGTTCAAGACTAGTGTTCAGGGTGGAGGAAGTGGTGAGTCAAGTCCTCACCATTTGCAGTTGAGTGGTCATGCAAAGTTCTGAACATGTTGATTGAGTTTAGTGACATGAAGGATACTGATGCCTGGAGTATCCCATATCCAGCACCACGTATCCCATAATGACAGGTAGGGCAGGACCAGCCCACCTGCCTCCCAGGACAGTGCCATTCCTGAGGCACTGGGGGCCTGTATCCCACAGGGAAAGGGCCACACCTGGGGCCTGCCCGAAGTAGCCTGCTGGTCTACCCAGCCTCTTTCTCACCACTCCCTTGTTCTCTTGGCTGCTGCTCTGCAATCCTTCCTTCTCTTCCAGACCATATTATTTCATTGTTTTATGACCTTCCATTTTGCACCTTTTGTTTCATTTCTTGTTTTATGACCTTCCATTTTGCACCTTTTGTTTCATTTCCCGAGAACGGCTCACCTGTCCTCTCTTCCCACTCACCTTTCATTTGGTTGACTTGTTCTCAACATCTGGGAAGCTGTCCTGATTCCATGGGGCCAGTGGCCTCCTTACCCCGTGGTCCCTGTTTTACCATAGTCCTGTATTTGTACAAAAGTCTACTTTTCTGCTTTCCCCCTGAAATATGAGCCTTTTGAAAGCAAGACCAGGTCTGATTTATCCCTTTGCCCTCAGAGCCTCAGGGTATACCTGGAATAGGTTCCTTTCAATATTTGCCTGGTGAAGAGCTTCCCAGCTCCGTTCTGAGGTCAGCAGGGAAGCGATTGGAGATGTGTGGGAAATGAGCCGTTCCTATACAGAAACCACGCCACTGGGCTGGTCAGGGCCAGGCTACAGCTCTGCCCTGGGCAGGCAGAAATGTTTGGGCTGCCTCTTCTGTTGGAGGGGGAGCTTTCTGGGGCTGGGCTGCAGCAGTCTGGTTATCATAGGCCTGGTGCAGGAGGTATGGAGGGATGAAGATGGGGGTATGGTGCTTATCTGATCTGCTCACAGCAGCAGCCCTGCCTTCTCTTGTTTTCCATGTTTGCAAAACAACTAACTGTTCCCCAGCAGCCAGCACTGCCCCTCCCACTGTACTGCTCCTGGGAGCCAGGCAACTTGGGGACACAGGTTCTGGTGCCTGGCAGTGTCCAGCAACAGAGGCTTGGCAATCATGAATCCAAGTAAGGAAAGAGATATTTCAGGATCATCTGGGTTTTGTGTGTGTGTGTGTGTGTGTGGTGGCAGGAGGACATGAGGTCTAGAGAGGGAAAGGGGCTTGACCAAGGTGACCTGGGATGGAATTCTGGTCTGTGTCCAGAGCCAGTGCTCCAGAACCTTCAGGAAGGAAGAAGAGACAACGAGTATAGTTGGTGTTCTTAGAACAGATGGGTCAAGGCTTTGAAAGAGATGGCAGCTCAGCTTGTCCCAGCAGTCTGCTCAGGAGAAATCCAGGTGGACAATGGAGAACTTGCCTGCAGAGACTGACAGGATAGGATCAGAGGTGGAGGACAGTTGATGTGGAACCAGTTCATGAAGGGTGGGGTCGGCACTTATGGGAGGGAGCAGGAAAGGCAGCTGGACCACAGGATGAGTCTGCTCTTTGGGATCAGAATCACCTGGGTTTAAGTTCCATCACTGCTACTTAATGTACTGGCTGTGTGACTTAAGTGAGTCACTTGACCTTTCTTTCCATTTCTTCACCTGTTAAATGATGATACGAATACTCATCATCCAGGACTGTCATGGGATTTCAAAATGGTATTTGTCAAGTGCTGTATTTTATAGAAAGCAGCCATGATTATTCCTGGAAATGGGGTTGGGATAGAGCTGTCCTTGGGAATGCCAGAAGAGAGAGAAGGAAGAGAGGACAGGATGCAGGAACATTAGTCATCCCCAGCAGCAGAACTTCCTCTGGGCCTGCCCCATGCTCAGTAATGCTGGGGATCCAGCAAGGGACCATCCTGCCCCTGTCCTCAGGGGCTCACAGGCTGGATAGAAGTGGGGTGTAGGGGAATGGACATAGAATATTAGAACTCTTGGAGTCAAGTACTGGGAGAGAGAGAGTGGCTGGGGGAGACAGCTGCGGCAGCGGAGGCCTTAAGTCAACATTTGCTGAACTGAAAGGGCCTGAGGAGTAGGCTGTGGAAGGCTTCCTAGAGGAGTTGCCACCACCTGTCCTGAGTTCCAGCATCTCCCAATGGTAGAGGCCAGCTGCTCCAAGGATGACATCTTCTTTCCTGGATCCCATACTCCTGCCCAGGCCACCTGGAGTCAGGCGGGGCTGGGCTTCTGGAACTAATGATGGCACTCTGACGTTGCTTCTGAATCCTGCTTTCTCCCTCCACTTGCTTGGTCCGAGCCCTGCCTCCCTCCCCAGCTCCTGGCCTCTTCTGTCCACACAATAACAGGATGTGATCCGTTCGAAGAGAGGAAGTGGGGAGGACGGGCAGTGCTGATAGCGCCGTTCTGACTCTCCACTCTTCCCCTCCCCTGCGGACCAGCCCCTGGAGCTGCCTCCTCCTGCAGGCCTTGTCGGGCTTCCCCGTGGGTCCAGCAGGGGTAAGTGTGAGCTCTTCAGGACCAAGCAGGCTTGTTGAAGCCTACAGGGAGATATACACTGACTACACCCTCTGCAGGGCCTGCCTCACTGGACAAGTACTTTTGGAGCTTCTGGAACCTGAGGGTGTGCAGACAAATCCCTCAGCTTTCACGTTAGCAGGGCCCCACCTGCCCTGCAGCTTCTCCAGGTTCACATGGGCCTGATCCAAATCAGTGGATGACAGAATCCATCAAAAGGCTCTTGTCAAAGGCTGGGGAGTCTTGCACAGCACATGGGGGCAATCTGCACAGGGGAGGAAACTGAGGCTCAGAGAGGCAAGGGACTTGTCTAAACTCAGTGTGGACTGGGAGCTAGGCAGGAGCTAGAATCTAGGTCTCCTGGTGCTCCATCACCCTCTATAGGCCATTGCTGTCTGTAAGAACTTTCTGGGATGATGGCTAATATGGTAGCCACTAGCCACCTGTAGCATTTGAGTACTTGAAGTATGACTAGTGTAACTGAGTACTGAGCTTTTAATTTTGTTGAATTTGAATTAATGTAAGTGCAAAAGGCCATATATGGCTAGTGGACAGCACAGCTTTAGACTCTGATTCATTAAGTCATGTTCATTTCTTGTCACCTTTGCTGAACTGGGCAGCACTAGGGACACAGATCAGCTGGGTAGCTGCAGCCATGTATTAAGTACTTCCCTTGAGGTCGACCAGGGGGGAATCTGACTCACCTAGGGGTCATGGAGCCTTCCCATAGGAAGCTGGTTTTGAAGTCTGTGAAGGAATTGATCAGATGTGCAGAGAGCAATGGCATTTGGGTAGCAAGAGTAGCATGAACAGAGGCATAGCACTGGGAAGAGCGGGGTATGCTCCGAGGCTGCCAGCTGTGTGGCTGATGAGATGTGTGTGGTGGAAGCATTGGAGCTGGACAGGCCTTGGGGCCAGGTCACTGGAGGCCTTGACTGCCATGAAGGTGATGGGGATCCACTGAGTGTTGCGAGCAGGTAGGAGGATGGTCAGATCTATGTTTCTGAGACCTTGGGGATAAAGCCATTGGGGCCAGAGTGGAGTCAGGAAGACCAATGAGGAGTCAGAGAGCCATACTCACCACAGTGTGGCAAGAGGCTGGGAAGAGCTTCCTGCTGCTGCCAAGCCATAGAGACTGGACACACTTATTACCAGGACATAAAGGCAAGGGGCTCAGGAGAGCTTGAAATTGTACTAGAACCAAGCCCCAATCAGCTCTTGCTTTTCCCAGCCCACTTTCCCAACCTGTCTTCCCATTCCTGTGAAAACCCACTAGTGCCCTAGGGGGGATAGAAGCCCAGGCGCTGGTGGGTCAGAAGAGATTTTATATGGATCTTTGATGAAGAGCAGGTTTTGGGAGAGTGGTGTTGAGGGCTCCTAGGTCCCAGACGTGGGAGGCTCAGACAGAGGACATGAGTCCCTAAGGGGGAGCCTATCCTGCACTCTGAATTGCAGTTTACGTCAAAGACTGACTCTTCCCAAGAACCCAGGACAGAGGACAGTACTTTCACTTTACAGATGAAGAACACTGAGGTCTTAGAGATTGAGTGATTTGTTCAAGATCAAATGTCTAAGTGAGAATCCTAGCTAGAATTCTACCCCTGGCTGTTTGGGGAGCCAGTTCCTTACTCTTACAGCAGGTGAACCCCTGAATACTATTGAGGTCACTACTGGCACAGCCCAGCCCCAGTCATTAGGTTGGGACTCCTCTGAGGGCAAAACAGAGAATGACCCTCATGTACTAGGGGAGGATAGGTTTGTCGATATGTTATTTAATGAGTTTCCTGATCTCAGGGAGACTCAATGTCTCTGACTCTGTCTCAGTCAAACAGATGATGATCTGACCATAACATCACCTCTCTCTGCATGGCCCCCACCCCCTTGCCATCCCATGACAAAGTCCCACAAGACCCATGACTTTCTGAGACCCAGTGGAGCTATGAGACTGAGTTGGAAAACCCTTTCCCACCCTATGTCTGGGGATAGCATAGCCAGCTGAGCCCCAGGGCTCAGGGTCCTCAGTCAGTCCTTCCCAGCTCCCCTGCTGCAGCTTGAGACCTGTGGTGCTCCTGGGTCCCAGGCTCTCTGGGCTGGGCCTTCTGCCCTCTGGCTGTTCTCACACAGCCTGGCGGAGGCTCCTCTCTCAGAGCTCCCGCCCCTCTCTCCAGCAATCCTCTGGGAGCTGCACGCTCAATGGGCTATCAGGCTTGCCCATCACTCTCACGCCCCCCTCCACTACCCCTGAATAGGTGGGATCCAGACAGATACAGGCACTCCCAGCCCCAAGTCCCCAGCCAATCTCTCCCAGGACCGCCTGGGACCTCCCAGCTCTGACGTGCTACCTGCCTTACCAGCTCAGGACCTGCAGGTTTTGGTCACACTGACAGCCTGCCCTTCTATTGTCTGGCAATGCAGTCTAACCCAGGTACCAACGTGCTAGGATTGCCTGGTCCATGCTGCTAGGATTCTGCTCTGTGAGTCCAGCCACAGGTGAAGGTTAAGCTCCCTAAGACCCACAGTGGGAGTGGATTTCGGTGACTGTGTGCTTCTCCCCCTCCCTTCGGCTTGGGTAACTGCAGCAGTTTCTTGTGAAAATGCAAGGAGAGGCCTGGGGAGGGCAGGACAAGCTGGTGGTTGCCTGGCTTGGTTTTTTTTTTTTTTTTTTGGCAGGGGATGGGGGGCTGGCCATAGGCCCCTTCAGGGTCCACATCTGCTGGGTTGGGGCTCCGCCAAAGACGGCTGACTGGTTTAGTTGCCCGGCTGCCGCGGGCAGGGAGCTGGCTGGCAGGCTTTCTGCAGGATGCTAATGAGGGCAGTCACAGGCGAGGGGGGGAGGCGCGCTTTTGTCCTGCACTTGTCCTTGGTGGAGGGTCCTCAGAGGGAGACAAGGGGCCCTCCTCAGACCCAAGTGTCCGTGATTAGCCTGCCATCACTCACTTTGATGGATCCCAGGGCTCTGGGGGGTGTGGACAGAGATGGGGAGGGACAGGGAGCAAGCCAATTCTGTGCCGCCATCCCGTGATTCCCAGTGAGTGTCCTTACAGAATCGCTGCTTAATCCTGTCTCCTCCACCCTCTTCCTTTCCCACTGTGAGCCTTTGCTGTACCTGTGATGTCCTCTCCAGGCTCACATTGCCAGGAGTGGATCTCTGGATGAGGTCATCTTAGAGCCTGCTTCTGCAGGAGTTTCTCCTCTTTCCAAACTCACAGAGCCATGTCTGGGTTTTCATCTGCCCATATTTTGGTCCTGGTGGTCTCTTCCTATTTGTCTGTGAATTGCTTAGTGCTGGCATGGTGTGTCACTGATCACTAGTGGCTTCATCCTGCCCAGGATGGGGACCTGCACCTAGGAAGTGCTCAGTAGATATTCACTGAATGATCTCAGGGTGGTGGAACACAAATGGATCTCAAGCTTCATTTTGCAGATGGGGAAGGATGTGTGACTTGTGCAAGGTCACACAGAGCAATGAGTGACTCAGTCTCCCAGCCCCACTCAGGCCTCCTTGAGAGCAGGGCTTCTCAAATTTTGGTTCAGGGACACCCAAGGAAAGAGGAGAGGATTCAGGTAGGACATAAACATGAATGGGGAAAAATAAGCCCTCTGTATTGCCACAACCTCTGACAGAAACTGAGCCTCTCATCCTTTGCTGATGTAGGCACATCACAGCACCCTGTGGCTGAGCCGTGTCTGGCTTTTGTTACCAGTGGAAATTGTGTCCTAGCTATGGTAGGGTAACCTTAGGTATCATTTATGACTATTCCCAATCTGTATGGTAGGTATTAAATTTGTTGCTAGATCTTGTTATTTAATCCATTAATAAAGGGGCACACATGGTCATTATGTTGTAAAATCTTAAGACACTTTGACAATTATATTTCAGTACCATTGATTTTCCCTATGATTTTATGTATTTGGGAAATTTATTTTACTTTATTTGTGATGCTGGGGACTAAACCCAGGGCCTCTCACATACCAGGCAAGTGCTCTACCCTTGAGCCACACCTCCAATACTAAGGTATTCATTTTGAAAGGGATCACAGACTTTACCACTCTGCCCAAGAGGTCCATGGCATACAAAAGCTTAAAACCCCTGCACAAAGGAACATCCCTGGTTGACTCTTCAGCCCAGAGACTGTGTCTTTGATCCATCTTTTGCAAAGAAGGTTGGAGGAGATGTAGACACCTGCTAGTGTGATTGGAAGAGGCTCGGGGTAGGGGTCAGTCCTCCAGCACCACCCCCTTGTCCTGTCACTTTTTAAACGTAGCTGCTATTTACTGAGTACCACACACATGCCCATCACTGTTCTTAATACTGGGAATAGAGCTCTGAACCAAACTTTCCTTTACAGAGGGTATGTTCTTGATGGAGAGGTAGAGAATAAACAACATAAATAAGTTAAATAAATAGTGGATTAGATGGGGGTAAATGACAAGGAGAAAAATGAGACTAGTAAAGGGAGTTGGGAGTATGGGAGGGAGGGATTTGCAATTTTAGATTAGATAAACAGAAGGGCCTCAGCAATGAGGTAACACTGGAGCCAAGACCTGAAGGCGATGAGGCAGCAAGCCACATAGTGTGGGGAAAGAGTATAATAGAGGAGAAACCAGCTAGTGCAAAGGCCCTGTGGCCCAAGTGTATCTGGCATGGATAGGAACTGGCCAGGAGGCAAATGTGACTGGAGTAAGAGAGGAGTGGAAGATGGGTCTAAGAGGTACCATGTAGGCACTCTGAGACATTGAGAGGACTTGGGCTTTTACTTTTCCACTGGAGGAGTTGGAGTAGGCCAGAGACATGCACTGACTTAAATTTCTGGCTGCCATATTGAGAGCAGACTGAATAGGGGCATAGGCAGAAGTGGGGAGACCAGTGAGGGGGTTGTTGCAATAAGCCTGGTAGCAGATGAGGGGGCTTGGAGAGAGCACAGCAATGGAGGTGGTGAGACCTGTTAGAAGTCGGGGTGTATTTAGAAATGCCAGGAGCA